ATAATAATAATAATAATAATAATAATAATAATAATAATAATGAATAGCTCTTATTTCCTGTTAACATGATTTAGATCTTCTGAAGCCTCTTTCTGCTGTTTTTCCTTTTAGTCCGTCATCATCATCATTGTTCTACTGTTTCTATTGTTTCTATTGTTTCTTTTCTTTTGTAACTTTGAACTGAATAAATAAACCAATCAGTGTCTTTGCTCTGTAGCAGAAAGCAGCTTCATTCTCATCTGTGCAGTCTTCGTCACGGACCAAGCTGATGATGAAGGTGAGTTTGGGGTTATTTTCCATGGCTCGTGTTGTGGAGTTTGATTTGGTTTCTGCTGTTGGACTCGTGTCTTTAATGATGCTCTGACTTTATTCTGAATCATTTCAGACTCTCAACTGAAACGTTTCCTCACTTTCTCCTTCTGGTGTCGCTCTTTCCTCGCTCACCCAAGTCTCTGCTGGGATGGAGGGAATTCCCTGAACTGGGATGCCTGGAAATCCCTTAGCAGCGCGCACACACACACACACACACACACACAGTGTTTTTCTGTTTGGTGCTGAAGGTCGAGCGCTTTGTTTCCTCTCGTTTTATTTCCATTTTTCTGCTCTCTCTCCTGTTTTGTCCTCTTTTTGTTTGACTCCCTCAGTACCTGCAGTAGAGTCAAACAATAGAGACACATTGAAATAAAATACAGTGGAGACGTGAGGAGAAAGGAGAAGGTGAGGAGAAAAAGCCCACATAAAAGATGAAATGGGGACGAGCGGATAAAAAAATAAAGGGTAATGTCAGTGATGACAGGACACTGAGGAGTCGAGCTGGAGCCGGCAGAGTGTGACTGAGAACCTAAAGGAGAACTGTCAGCCATTATCCAATCAGATGCAGTCAGCAGTTTGATTGACAGCTGAGACTCTGGTTGACTGGATCAGCTGAGATGTGAGGCGCTCGAGACAATACGAGCTCAGGTTTAGTGTCAGGCTTAATACATTATTGTCTTTGATTTTATTGCCATCTTCAAACTGACCGCGGCTCACCCGAGGCTTCGCAAACTTCTTTTCGGTGATGCCGTCATCCACAGCGGGCGATGTCAGACTCGAGCCACTGGCTCGTTCACGCCGAGCTCGTCTCTTTTCATTCAAATAGAAGAAATCGTGCTGAAAGCTGAGTGATCAGAAATCATCTCTTAAGATAAAATGAACTTTACAAGGTAACAAAGTCAGAATAATGTTGGAAAAATGTGATAACATAACCTGACATGACGTGGTCTTTTATTTTGTGGCTGTGTAAGATCCCAACACAAACAGGTGACCGAAGGCAACACTTAATGTAAGATGTTTGCAGATGTTTTATTTGAGGAAAACTGAATCTTTGAGATGAGCCTGCGATAACAATTTAAATAAAACTGGAAAAAACGGAGGTATTGATGTGTGCACAGGTGCAGGTGTGCAGAGAGTCGTCTGCTTAGACGATCATAAAAGCAGCAGAAACAAAACTGGAAAGAACCAAAAATTTGCACGTGTGAAAAATTGGAACCGTCACAATTTACTGAAATTTAGACGGTGAGTTAAAATGTTTAGACGTCACAGACAGATTTAAACATGCGTTATATTCATGTTCCTAACGCTGCTGCAGAGGTTTGTCTGTGTTATCACCTGCTCTGGTCCTGGGACGAGTCCTGGACGTGTAGATGATCAGCAGGAAGCTGCACAGATCCAGAGTTCCTGTGAAGGAGAGCTGCTGGTGGAAACACTCAGATCAGACCTGCTCAGGCTGCGGGTTCAGTTGCCGTTGTAGTTTAGGCTAAACAAATGAACCAATGAGTGTTTTTTACAGAGTCAGCTGTGTGTGTGTGTGTGTGTGTGTGTGAGAGAGAGAGAGACAGCTGGGCCATCTGACTTTGCTGTGACATCTGGGAAACCCGCCGGTTTGTGCCGTGAACGCTGGTTGATGTCGCTATTTAAATGCAAATGTGTGTGTGTGTGTGTGTGTGTGTGCTGAGTGCTCCCAGCATCTCACACACACACACACAAAAGGAAACACTTGACACACAATACAGAGGGGCTGTAACACACACGCTCGCTGCAGCGCTGAGCCTCGGCAGCGAACGCAACGAAAAACTGCAGAAAGAGGAAGAAACGAGGTGACATGTCTGAGTTGATTTGAAATGATTAAATTCACATATTTTAACTAATCTGATAGAAATCCAATGATTTCACTCAGATTAATAAATAAAATAAAACAGACAATGTTACATTTTTCATTCAAAGAAAATATAAAAAGCTAATTTTAATTTTGGCACAAACAAAAAGATGAATTCAGGCTTCAGTCTGGATTCATCTGTTTAATCCTACATTTAAATGATTCTTCTGAGAAAAAAACATTAAGCTGATAAAATGCTGATAAGCTGATCACTGAGAGGTGAGACCGCTGTCGCGGCTTCAGACGCTCCAATAATGAAGTCACATGTGGGGAATAAGTGATCGCATCCATCAGCGCGAGCGCGCGAGGGTCGGTCGCCTGCGGTTGATGAATGGACTCGGACCCTAACCGAGTTTGTCTTCATGTAGATCAGATCATAAAAGCACATTTAAATAAAAGCTCACAGTGGAAACAGGAGTGCGTCTCTGCTGACCTCTGCTCCCACATTTACAGCCTCGCTTTAAATCTTTTCCCTCCTCACCGTCGCTCCGTCTTTATTCTCAAGCTCAAAGAAAAGAGAAACTCGATTTTCTCATGTTTATGTCATTTAAAGGATCATTTTCTGTCTCTAATGTAATTACTGAACGTCCGTATTAACAGTTCATCCACAGGAGGAAGAAGCAAAAATTAAATTAAAAACAAAAAGTTATTTTTAATCAAAAATTAAAAACCATCAGCTGATGTGGAAGTGAAGCAGCGGGGGTGTTTGCGTCCATCCCCCCTTTGTTTTCTCTGGGCGAGCGGGTCGGGATGTGTCCCAAAAGAGCGACCTCCCCCCACCCCACCCCCACCCCCACCCAGCCTGCCCGTACTCTTCATTGTTCACTTTGTTAAATTTGAACCTGCAGGCTGATCAATTATTATTAAATTAATTGGTCGTTCAGTTGCTGAAATTTTTATTTACATTTACAATTTTCGTCACTCACATTCATCCTGGAGAAAGATCACCTCCTCTTCCCTTTCTGCTCCTCTTCATCATATTTTCACTTTGAATTTCCTGGAAATAATTTCATTCTCCTCCTCGTGTCTTTCCTCTTCTTCATGTGTGCAGATGGGTTTTCTCTCCTCCTCCTCGTTTCCTTCCTCTGCTTGTCGGTCCACCCCTCGGAGCCTCGGAGGCCTTCGCCCCTGAAGACTGGCTGCCTGTGAAAAACCTGCCTCGCTTCTTGTCTGACAGTCAGATCATCTCAGAGGAAGTTTCTGACCAAGGTGATGAAAATCAGCCGAGAGACAAAAGCGAAGGAAGCATCAGACAACTGAAGATTGTTCTCAGTGAACCGCAGGACGCAGGAACGCACCGTGACGGCTGATTGGACATTTACTGACGGAGATGATCGATTGAGATGATTAGGATTCAGAGATAATTGGATTTCTGAAGCAGTCGCCTCTGAGACGGGAAAAACAAGCGCAAACCTATTTGTGTCCAGGTCACAGCGCTGTGTGGCGATTGAGCTCGAGACTATTTAAGCTCAGGGGTTTTAACCTGTGCTGGCTTCACGTTACCCAGGTTTCAGTGACCGAACGCCTCGTGCCGCCGGCGCTTAGATTGGTCACAAACTTGAGTCACAGAAGACACTTGCTGTGTTAGAAACATGAGGATGGGACCTGGAACCAGAACTAGACCCTGCTGTTCAGGTTCTGGTCAGGAGTCGTTCCACTTTGACCTCCTGGACGGGAGTCTGACCTCGGTCTGGTCTTCCAGCCTCCGTCTGGCCTGAGCGTCTACCACAGAGACCATCAGGGACCCGTTGACCCGGCTCAGGCTCTGATAACAGACCCAGGACACAAGGACTGGATCTGTGAGCGGATTTTCATCACAACCACACGAAGCGATAAACAGGAACCAGTTCAGACTGAGAGAGAGAGAGCGAGAGCATGGGGCGATCAAGACCTCTCTCTCTGGTTGGTTGGCACCTCCTCCCCCTCCTCCCCCTCCTCCCTCTCTTCATCTTGCTCTCGCACACCCGCGCACACACATCGTCTCTCACCTCTCCCGTCCTTATAAGGCCAGGCCCCACCCCCGCCGTGATGTCGTCAGCAGCAAGGAGGAAGACCCGTGGGGTTTTTGGGTTTTGCCGTCCAGTCCTGTGGGGCCGCAGGGCTGAGAGTTTCTCCTCCGCTCCTCACCCCTCCATCCCAGCCCACCTCCTCTCTCCTCCTCTCTTTGGGGAAAAGAAAAAAGACACTTTGCTTGATTCGCCGTCCGGACCCGGCTGTTCTCCCCCTCGTTTTCTCGTCCTCTGAGGATTTTATTTCTCTTTTTTCGTTTCCTCCTCCTCCTCCGGCCTTTTTTTCTGTCACTGATGATCAAGAATAAAAAAAAAAACCTTCTTAAAAACTTAAAAAATTTTCTGCCCTGAAAAGTTGAATTAAATCTGCAAATCAGACGAAAAGTTCTGCAGAATTTTAAACTCCTCGTTGTTCTTCATCCTCGCCGCCTTGTTTCAGACCTCGACGTGCGGGTGAAGAAAATGTCGCCCGTTCAGAAGCCTCGCTCCGTCCTGTAGATCACATTTTTTCTGCTGGACTTTTTCTTCTTCTTCTTCTTGTTTTTGCGGCTGAGCTGCAGCAGCGACGCTCGCAGCATCCGGGCCCCTGAGATGTTTGGGATCCAGGACAACCTGCCCCGTGGGGCCACGGCCAACATGAAGGAGGAGCCGCTGGCCGTTCGCTCCTGGATGCACTCGGCCGGTGTGGTGGACGCCAACACGGCTGCTCAGAGGTAAACTGCCCGCCACCCCGCAGGGGCTCTGGGAGCTGTAGTCCCAACGGACCCACAGCAGTTTTATTTCACTCGAAAGAAAAAAAATTTGCAGCTCAGAGAAAAGATTTTAATTTTAAATCTTCAGCAGAAAGATAATTATTATTTTGCTGGAGGGAAAAATTGATTATTTAGATGTTTCTGAAGCTCAGACAGATTGAAAATAAGATTTTAAAATGTTTCTGAAGTTCAGGAATATTCCTGCAGCTCACAGACAAACAGGGAAATGTTTTTGTAAATGTGAGTTATTTAAAGTGAATAAAAACACTTATCAAAAATCCTCCAAATTATTCCTATTTGATCTTTAAATTTTCAGAGTTTGACTCAAAGACTTTTCCTTGTGTTTGTTTCCCAAAGTGAAACGTTTGTCTGAGCCGAGGAGCCGCTCGTTTTATTTTTCCTCAGACTGACTTCATGTTTCTCTGGATGCCGTCGAAGGTTTGGGGTTAAAGCGCCGCGTGTAATAAACGAGGCGCGGGTCGGCGGCGGCAGCGGTCTGAGCTCGCCCTGCAGCTGAGCGTCACAGTTTATCATCGTTAGCAGCTTCAGCCGTCGGCTCTGTTTCTGCATTACAACAATGGAAAATACCACAAAGTTTATTCAGGATGATCCACAAAAATCATTTCACTCTGAGAAAATAAACATTAATGTTCAAAAATAGAACAAAAAGAATTAAATTCATCTGAACATCTGCAGAAAATTCATTTAAATAATTTTAAAAATGAAACAAAAACTATTAGAAATATTTTAAAATTCTCTCGTTAGATTTCCTGACACGATGATTTTAGTTCCTGATGACATAAACGACAAATTCAAGTTTATTCTCATAAAAACATTTCTAACATTTTGAAGATTTCAGATTAAAAGCACGACTTGTTTCTATGAAAGCATGTTCGTCTGTGCGCTGCCGTCCGGCTTTAACGCTGCGAGATATTCCGATGATGTTTGCGGTCGAGGTCAAAGCTGCAGTTTGACTTCTGCGCATGAATATTAATAAATCGAGCATGTGATTCACAGTTTGTGTGAATCTGATTTTCTCTCTTTAACATGTTAAACGCCTGGAGCTGCGTCCATGTGACTGTTTAAAGTTGTGCAGCATGTTTGGTGAAGGATGAAGATTTTTATCCTCACACGTTTATGAATAAATTGCATCGTGCAGGTTTTCCTGCAGCGTTTAATTTTAACAGAAATGTTTCACCTGATTTATTAAGATTAAACTCGTGAAATGTGAATTTTTCTTTTTTTAGTGCCGAGCTGGTTTTTCCACAGTCGCCTTCTCGCCGTGAAACGAGGAAAACCTTCTGGATATTTTCACAAAGTCGACTCAAACGTGTTTATTTAAATTAAACACAAATTTTACTACAGCTCTAATAATGCTGTATTATTGCTGCAGTATAATGAAGTGTGTCTGTGCTGAGGCTGAGCGTGTGTTCATCGTTCAGACTTTGATACGGTGAATCTGTGATGTGTTTCTCGGCCTGACGACCGCGTGAAGCTGCGATTAATCACGTCTGACCTGCGTTTTTCTTCAGCGAGTCCTAATCTGACCTTGTTCATCTTCAGGAAGTTTTCCTGGATTTAAAGCACTTTGTGCGTTTTACTGTAACACGCTGTTTTTCAGCACATGAGCCAGACGTGAAATATTTTACCGTGACAGAGAAACACAAAGAAAACTGCAGGAAGCTCTGTGACGACTGCAATAATAAACCTGACCTCGTCCTCTGTGTCCTGCATCTTTTATATTTCTGTCCATCTCTTTGCTTTTCAGCGGGGTGGGGTTAGCTCGCGCTCACTTTGAGAAGCAGCCGCCGTCCAACCTGAGGAAGTCCAATTTCTTCCACTTCGTGCTGGCTCTGTACGACCGCCAGGGTCAGCCCGTTGAGATCGAACGCACCGCCTACGTCGACTTTGTGGAAAAGGAGAAGGTGAGACCCAGAGGGATGCGGGGAGGAGCTGGGACGTAAAACAAACACACCGCACAGTGTGCAAAGACAGAAATCAAAGACGCTCTCGTCCTTATGACGGAATCTGAACTTTAGAGACTCAGTCGCATCCCGACAGGAAGGAGACCCTCTGCCAGACGCCGTAACGCTGCGACTGCCATTCAGGCTGAACTCGAGTGAAACAGTAGTGCTGATTTTATCAGCATCGCACACGTGGCTTTTATTTAAACATCACTTCATATTTTTTACATTTAAATAAAAATGCAGATTTATCTGGACAGCTGAGACCGTCGGCTCCGCGTCCCGAGCTCAGGCTTCGTTCATCAAACTGATACCACAGCTCCAGCACCGTAGCATGTCCACAGTGGTATGATAGACAACAGCACCTGTGACAGGTGTGTTTGGCAGCAGTGTGCACAGGAAACACAATAAAATGCAGTTTGCGTCATTTTAATGCAGCAGTTTTTCCCTCTGACAGTCGCGTCTGTGCCGAAGGTTGATTCATGTTTATCAGCCCAGCAGCTTCGGCTCCGTGCAGACAGAGCAGTGTGAATGTGGCCCCGATTCACCAAGCAGGGAAAAAAAGCCCCGAATAGAGCTGATAGGTGCGTTTGGTTTTACGGCCGATTTCCAAAAGTTTGGATGTTTTCTAAATGCAGGAGCTGACGCTTCATTTCAGCATCGAGCAAACAACGTGTGGTTGGAATAATCAGTAAATCAGTTTAAGGTTAAATATCCCCCTCTGTTTATGCAGCAGCTTCATCTCAGACGTGTGCGCTTGTGTAAAGGTTGAAATATACGGACTCACCAAAGTTACACACCAGCGCACTCTAATGCACTAAAACATGCAGCACTTCTGCTTGGTCACATCAGGTGGAGAAACCAAACGCACCCACGCCTCAGTTTGTTTCCTGACTTTGTTTCAGGAGCCGACGGGAGAGAAGACCAACAACGGGATCCACTACAAGCTGCAGCTGCTCTACAGTAACGGTGGGTGCGCTTGTTTTA